GTACCTCAGGTTTGTTTAATTATAGATAAAAAATATCAATATTTATGATATCAAATAAATATCATTAGGTTAATAATGAAATGTATTTTCTTAATAAATTAATTTGGAGTTAAAAATATGAATAGTATTCACTAGAAATTTGGTTAAACGTAAATTACTTTTGTCAGCACGCAACCTATAGTTGCATGTTTTCTTAGACAGAGATAGTATAACTTATGACAAATCTTGGAAACACAAAATTATTTAAACATAAAAGGAACAAATTAACTTATAATTTATACCAAAACTTGAAAACACAAAAGGAAAAGGTCTACTTAACCCCCCACCTTTCATACTTGGTCTACTTCACCCCCCAACTATGAAACCGTCTGTTTTACCCCCTGAACTTTCTAAAACCGTCTATTTTACCACTTGGGCGGTTTTCAGCGGCGGTTTGCTACAGTAATAGTGGTTTTGAATTTTCTTTTTTTTATTTATTTTCGGTGATTTTTTAAAAATCATAGAAAAATCTAATTTTATTGGACTCCACATGAGTAGATCTACACAGTGAATATATAATACGGTATGCTTTAGTACAAATTTTTTTTGTAGCTTTAGATTAATTGAAAAATCCAATTTTGTCTGTAATTAATTAGAATTTATCTATAACTAAGTTATACATAGTCCAATGAGTACGAAATTTTTACTATAGTTCAAGCATACAATAATTAGCGTATCATAAAAATTTTACCACACAATGACCATAGAAGCTGCAGCTATGAATTATTCCAATTAATTACAGACAAAATTAGATTTTTCAATTAATCTAATGCTACAGTAAAATTTTTTGTACTAAAGCATACCGTATTATATATTCACTATGTAGATCTACTCATGTGGAGTCCAACAAAATTAGATTTTTCATTTTATAATTTTTCTATGATTTACTATGATTTTTCAAAAATTCACAGAAAATAAAAAATTCAAAACCAATGTTACTGTAGCAAATCCATTGTTACTGTAGCAAAACCGCCGCTGAAAACCGCACAGGGTAAAATAGACGGTTTTAGAAAGTTTAGGGGATAAAATAGACGGTTTCATAGTTGGGGGTGAAGTAGACCAAGTATGAAAGGTGGGGGGTTAAGTAGACTTTTTGCAAACACAAAAGTTATGAAACACAACTTATATGCAAAAATTATCAAACATAACTTGTGTACATAAATTATTCTATGCAACTTGCCAATGCTACTAAAAAAACAAAAGAAGGATAGAAAATATAAAAAATGAAAACAATATTAAAAATCATATAAAACAAAAACTAACTAAAAATAAAATAAATTGATGCACAAAAATAAAAAATAATAAGACCATCACGTAGCTATGCTACGCAACGAATCGGAGCAGCATGTACTAAAAATAATCGCATGCACGGAATATATCCGCGTACGGCGCAGAAAAAAGACAGAAAAGGCACGCCGGAAAAGGGGAAAGTTATCGTGTAGACGTGGTCTGCGTTCGCTAGGATAGAATCGGGTGATCATCGCCAAAACGGAATTGGGCATGGCGGCTGGTTCCGGCGCCGGTCCGTTCTGCCTCTGCAGGCGTGGAGGCTCCGTGCGGAGGCTGCTGGTGGCGGCCTTGCGTGGCGTGGTTCATGCGGGGCTGGCTCGGCATGGGTTGGGACGGTGGTGGGCTGGGCAACTGAGGCTTATTCCGATCCCGGTCCTCTTCTCCCAACCATCCCCTTCCTCGGGCGGGTATCGTGGCGGAGCTAGCCGGATCTACTTGCTGTTAGCCGGCTTTGTCGGTTCCAGCGGGGAGCGGACTCTCAGGTGGGCCTCTCCCGGCGCTTCTTCTGACCGTCATCCGACCGGGTGGGGCTGCTACTAATCCTTCACCGCTCCCAGCCTCCTTGGTAGGGTTTGGTCTCCGGCGGCAACGGTATAGAGGTTGCTCGAGGTCAGGGCAAAAGCTTGGACGAACGACGACTGTGGACATCGTTCCCTCCTTGGAGGCATCCTTTCCTACCTCTCCTCCTGCCATAATGGATGTTGCAGGTGAAAACCTTCCCTTGGCATTCTACATTGCCGGCGCTTTTAGCGTCGTTTCCTCCTTAGAGGCATTGTTAGGCATTCTAGTTCCGCAGTCGCTTCTTGCCGTCTGGCTATGGTGGTGTCCCAAGCTGTGCTGTCTGGAGTCGCTCGACAGGTTGTCATGTTTCTTTAGCCCTTGTTAGTTGTTAGTTGGGTCGATTTGACCAGTTTAAGTTGTTGCAGTTAGATCGATTTCGACCAAGTTGCAAGTGGTGACGTGGAGTTGTGACAGTCGTGTCAAAGTTGTACAGAATGAGCAGGGCACTCTCCTTAGTTATATGTTTTTTCTGGCCCAGTTTTCATTCAAAAAAACTAGACTGGTACTTACCTTTTTTCTTTCTTCGTATAATAGAAATCGCGGCAAATCTTTTGACGTTCTTTTAAAAAATATCCCGACTCCCTATTGACAATTATTTAATGAAGTGTGCCTAATTATTGGACTAATACCTTTCTGTAGGCAGGAGAAACGTTTTTATATACACTTTTCAAATAATTTGACCAATGGCGCCAAGCCACCAACTGAATGAATCACCGGAGAATCACGAACATGCATGCAATGCGGGCCAACGTAGTTGTCGTCGTCGCGGAAAGAACAATGAACTAACAGTAGTGACCTTGACGTACTGGTAAAAAAATGTAGGACTGAGACCAAATTCGACCGTTTATATTTAAACACAACAGCATGCATGTTGGTCTAGTATAATGCCGTAACTAATACTGTTTGACACGCACTTTGACCTTTTACGTAGGTACGCTTGGACTCGATCAACAAAGGAAAGGTCAATATGTGCGAGCGACCTACGACCTAACATGCGGCCATGCATACTGGCCCCACAGCATTAGACGAACAGCGGATATGTTGTTACCGTCACTTGTGCTGTAGTAATTAGCATCACGTACGAACATACTCAAGATTACGTGTGTGGAGCCAGTCCGTCGTATGCAAATCATGCATATGTACTAGTACTATATATACATAACTGGATTCTTTTTACTGTGCAGAGTGCACACAGTCGTAGCGTACGTACTTGATAAATAAATAAAATATGTTTGTTTAAACACGTATATATTGACCTGAATTGCATAGCTATAGGCACAACGCTGACACTTTTGCCGAGTCAATTCTTCGGACTCATGGAGCTACCGCCTGTGAAAATAAGACACTTTCATCTCTTTTTATGTACTTCTCAAGACAATTCGCTGGTCAGGAGAACATATTTTCTCCTTTTCCCTCATATAAATTTGGCTAGACTTAGAGTAGTTTAACTTAGAATAACTAAAAATCTACTTTAAGTCTAGCCAAGTTTATAGAGAAGACAGAAGAGTATTAGCGTCGACTACACATATGATTTTCAGAGGGCCCTGCACATTTTTTAGACGTCACGGTTGGCGCCATAAGAAATCATTCTACTAAATTTCCAGCTAGGCCCCAACTTATACACGCCCCTTGAAGAAATCAAATTTTTAAGACGGTTGACTTAGTATAATCTCTTATATTTCAAGATGGAGGGAGTAAAGTTCTTGCACCTAGGGCTTCAACGCAAGCAGCATGCTTCTACTGTTTGGAGAAGCTGGCCGCAAGTAAGTCGTACCTACCTTAGTGCCTGACTACGTGCTTTGAACAAATGAAAAGTCTAAATTTTGAATGGGTAAATTCCTTTGAACTAGCTACACTATGTTATTCTTCCTTAATTCGTTGCTGGATCCTAGTTCAGTTGTGCCATGCATTGATGCATCTAGCAGCAAGCTGGCATTAGATGATGTCAAAAAGATATGACCATATGATGATGAACAAGCTAGATAGGCGCACGCGCATGCAGTGAGGTGTAAATAATTAGCGGACTTAATCTTAGTCATGTTAATTAAACAGTACTGTTTTTCGGTTAATTGTTAGAGCTGTCCTTCATGCTCCATTTGAGTAAAGCAAACGAGTAGGACAGCTCTAGCAAATTTTGGGTTAATTGTTTTATTAATTTCTTCATCATAGTTGGTGGCTAATTTGTAAATAGGTAGTTATACTTTAGGGTCTGTTTGACATATGGCAGGTTTATAGCTAGGGTTAAAAATTAGTCTAAATTTGGTGTGGTTCGTTAGCTAATTCGCTAACAACTAGTTAAAAACTTAGTTAAAAAATAACCCACCTATTAATAGCCCCCTCCTGTTTCGACTAATTTTTAGCTAGCTACTCATTCCATCCAAATTATAAGATGTTTTGACTTTTGTAGATATATTGTTATGCACTTAGATATATAATACATCTAGATACATAGAAAAAACAATGCATCTAGAAAAAACAAAATATTTTATAATTTAAAATATAGAGAGTAACAATTAGCTCCTGTACCCAAACTAGGGCCCTAGTTCCTTTTCTCTATGGCACGCTTAACGTGGAGTAAATTTTAGTCCTGGCCGGAGAGAGCGAACATGGGACTTTTTTTTGGACGGGCTAGTATGCATGGCAGCTTTCATGGGTGGATTTTCAACCTTGTGAATTGAAATTCAACTTGACCGAGCGATGCAAATCGCGTAGCCCCCTGCGCGTACGTTGGCGCGCGCATGCAGCATCATCCTCGACCGGGAAATCAAATTAAAATGCTTACAAAAGTATAAGGCGAAGAATAGACCCGGTCGGCGCGCGTTTAAACCTTGCGTAACAAAGCTATAAAAGGAACTCATGCATCTTATCTCGGTGTCTCCCAACAAACCATTCAAGAGTACTCCTATCGATCGTCCCATCGACGACGAACATACGTACTGAAGGCTGAAGCAAACTCTTAGAGTACGCAATAACCAGCTCCATCGTCGTCTGCAATCACAGTTGTTCTCTGCAACGTAGCTCCATCTCGCGTCCTAGCTCTCAAAAAAGGCTATACGACGTACGACGCGAGCAGAACTTGATCTCGGATAAGTATGGCAGCAGCGACAACGATGGCGATGACGATAAGGGCGGTGCTGCTGGTGGTCGTCGTGCTGATGCAGTGCTGCGACGTGTTCGTCGCGGCGAGGCCGTTGTTGATGGAGGCGCCGGCGGTAGCAACAGCTGACGGCGGCTGGCTGGGGATGATCATGCAGGTGCTAAAACGCGGGCCGGGCGGCAACAACCACAACTGCCAAGCTCCCAACGGATCGTGCCCCTGATAAACTAGCTAGCCGGCCGGCCGGGGCGGCAAGCTCCCGAGTCCATCAGTCGATCATCAACTCCATGCTCCGATCCATCGATTCTTTATTTATTTATGTGTGTGTGTGTGTGTATATATATATATATATATATAACCTGTGCATATATAGTGTCTCTTAGGTTTGTAGATACCAAGCAAGCTAGTTAGTTGTTCGGGATTATTTGTAATTAAGAGGTTAATTAACTCCGTGCAAAATCGCACAGATGCCTCTCTCACACATTATTATTCTTTTATATATGTACTTTTGGGTGTTCCAGAGGAAAATCACTTCATATAGTCTATGCACAATTCTCAACTGGCTGATGCCTGACGCTTTGACAGGCTAGTCTCAGTGGGAATTTCATGGTCCTGTTACCAATGCATCCATATTTTGGAAATAGTGAAGAAGAGTTTCATCCCCATGAAACTCTCTCTACTCCCATGAAACTCTTATCATCTCTCTCTTCATCAATACGGTGCCACATCAGCACATTTAATGTCCATGAAACTCTGATGAAACCCCACTAAGACTGGTCTTACACGTACACACTTGATCTCTCGAGGAAATACAAAATAAATTAAACGAAGTCTATGTGCGAATGAGCTACTAATTAACCGGGTTCAGCCCCACAACATTAGACAGCTAGGGTGCATGTTACCGCTCTGTTAAGGCATCAATTACACTTTACTCATTTCATTCCAAATTAATTGTACTTCACTCTAAATTTGTCCTAAGTCAAATTTCTCTGTCTTCGATTAGTTTTGGATTGAGAAACATACATCAGTGTACATCTACAATATATCAAGTTAGTTTTGTTAACCTCTTAAAGAAACATGTCTTGATAATAATTCCTAAAAGAAATGAAATGTGTCTTAACGGTGCACTGAACTTATAGGTTTTAACTTTTTTCTAAGAATTTAAGTTAGAACAAAACTTTAAGTGAGCTGTAATTTAAAACAGATAGAATATTAATTATATCATGAAAATAAGACTTGGTGTCTATTTATGTATGAGACAAGAGATGAACGTGAAGGCTAAGGACACATTAGAGTGAATGAAGACTGCGATCATAGGGACATTTTGGTGTTGTGCATTAGGTCTTATTTGTTTTTTCTTTGGCTGTATTAAGGAGATCCAAGGTATTCAACTTGAGTAGCTTACTCTCATCAGTCGAGTTGATGGTGACAAGTGGTCTCTTTGAATTAGTTTCAAGTCAAGGATCTCAAAGGTGTTGAATTGGTTGAGACCAAACTTGAAATAGGTTGAAAACACACACCGTAGCATGCACCGGATGATAGGCTTGATCCTGATGGATCGTTCGGTGATGTGTCCTAGAAACTTAACCAGTGAAATCAGTAAGTGATGTATGATGCGATGACGGAGGACTTTGCGACCTCGGCATATCATCCAATAACACCAACTTGATTTGGTGATTTGTTGGTCAGCTTACTGATGTGCGTCATATAATCCGGCAAAGGATAGTGTGGTTTTGCCAAAGAGAGAACGACCGATTTGGCTAACGCTGGCCATGCCAGCGGCGAGGGCTAGGCCAGCTACTCCAGGCTCATGCGCCCCTTAGGTTTGGCCGCAACTTGATTAGAGGGAGCCTCAACCCCCATGCAAGAGAGAGAAAATTTAAAACCTGGGCTAATTAAGCAAGTGATGCACCAGTAAACATTCAAAAAGATGTTAGGAATAGCATTTACTTACCTTCAAGAGTCTCCTCCTCTAAAGGAATCAAAGCAAGACCTCTTGGCCCCCCTTAGATTTGTATTCTCTGGAAAGTTACCCAAGCTCCTCATCTTTGCTTCCTCCTTGAGCTATAGTATCTGTTTTGTGGAGGAAGAAGGGGGAGGCTAGCTATAATACTGTAATATATATGCTATAGTCATTAGCAGATCCGGTTTTAATTACAACTGCTTCTAGAAATACATTTTTAGCTGCCTCTGCAAATATATTTTCTGCCACATCTGCAAATACATTTTTATAGAGGCGGCTAGGTTGGTAGGACCCAATAGAGACTTTATAGAGATGGTTGGAAATTCAGCCGCCTCTGCTCTAAAACAGCTCCAATGCTAAAATTCATTCTTGCAGCAGTGAGGGATTCAACGCAAGTATAGCATGCATTTACTGTTTGGAGAAGCTGGCCTCGCGTGTAAGTACTTGTCTAAGTGCTTGACTATGTGCTTCGAACAAATAAAAAGTCTAAATTGTGAATTGGTAAATTCATGGCATTCCTTTGAAGTAGCTATACTATATATGGGCCTATTTGATATAAGGAACTAAAAATTAGCTAAAATTACTCTAGCGTATCCAAACAGAAGTGCTAATATAGGTGGGATAAATTTTTAGCAAGCCTTCAACTAGCTCTTATTCAACTACCTAGCCAACTCTAGCTAATTTAGACTAATTTTTAGTCTCAACTAGTAACTAGCACTAGTACTCTTCCTTAACTTGATGGATCCAAGTTTTTTTTGGGTAATTGTTGGATCCTAGTTCAGTTGTTATACTTATGCAGCAGATGGTGTCAAAGATATGATCATGACGATCAACACGCTAGGTAGGCGCGCGCGCAGGGAGGTGTATAATAAATCATATAAATAGCAGACTTAATCGTAGTCATGTTAAGTAAACAGTATGCACAAGTGTCCTTCATACGTACTCTTGTCACAAAAAAAAAAGGTCCTTCATGCTCCATTTGGGCAAAGCAACAAGGAGTAGGACAGCTGTAGCAATTTTTGGGTTAATTGTTTTAATTTCTCCATCATAGCTGGTGGCTAATTGTAAATAGAGGTGTATATAGTTATACTTTTGTTCCTTTATTAATTTTCTTTATTCGTTATTTATCGATATGACATCCTTAAAGTGGAGTAGTTTTTAGTCCTGGCCGGAGAGAGGGAACGTACATGGGACTTCCTTTTTGGGCGGGTTAGTATGCATGGCAGCTTAGTTTGATGGACGGATTTTCAACCTTGTGAATTGAAATTCAACTTGACCGAGCGCTGAAAAGAAAACCGCGTAGCGATGGCGCCCCCGCCCCGGCCGCGTACGTTGTTGGCGCCGTTAGTTGATGGCGCATGCAGCAGCATCCTCGACCGGTAAATCAAATTCAAATTCAAATGCTTATAAAAGTACAAGGCGAAGAATAGACCCGGTCGGCGCTTAAACCTGCGTAACGAAGCTATAAAAGAAACTCATGCATGCATCTTGTCTCCCAACAAACCATTCGAGAGACAACTTCTCCTACCTATATCGATCGTCCCATCGACGACGTAGGTACTGAAGCAAACTCTCCAGAGTACAGTACGTCATAACCAGCTCGATCGATCGTCGTCTGCAACCACAGTTCTCTAGCCTGCCATATATACATATCGTCGTCTGCAATCGCACAGAACTTTGATCGGACAACGTACGGCAAGTATCTATGGCAGCTGCAGCGGCGACAATGGCGAGGGCGGTGCTGCTGGCCGTCGTGCTGCAAGCCTGCAACATGATCGTCGCGGCAAGACCGTTGCTGGAAACGCCGGCGGTAGCGGGAGGGGCCACCGGTACAAGCAGCTGGCTGGGGCTCATCATGCAGGTGCTAGGCGGGCCGGTCGGCAACGACCACAACTGCTCCGCTCCCCACGGATCGTGCCCCTGATAAGCTAGCTAGCCGGCCGGCCGGCCGGGGCGGCAAGCAAGCTCCCGACTCCATCAGTCGATCATCAACTGCATGCATGCTCCATCGATTTTTTATTTGTGTATATATATAGGAGTCAATTAACCTGATGATGTGCATATATATAGTATATGGGTACTTGTTGTAGTTTTTGTAGTTAAGAGGTTAACTAACTCCGTGCAAAAACGCACAGAGCGGTCTCTGCCTCTCTCTCACACATTTTTGTACTTTTGTACGTGGTTCTGGGTTCCTGATCGAGCTAATAAAGAGTAAGATTTGCAAACTGAAGGTCGATCCGCTCCGTTCACTATTTAAATTCATATAGTAGTATATTACAGATCGACAGGAAATTAAATCACTTCAAGCTTTTTGTTCCCTAATTCCTTTCCCTTTTAGCTGTATAGTCGTTTAGTTGCTTTGTATTTCTTTTCAGAACTGCTTCTTTTTTTAATAAAGCACTGTAGGGGTGCAAACCCCTCCAGTTTCCCTAAAAAAATCACTTCATATGAACTGTATATATACATTTTTTTCACTATGCTTGGTCTCTCGAGGAAATAAAACGAAGTCTACGTGCGAGCACAACCGTAGACTACTCTAAAAGGTTTCGTTGCATATATGTTAATTTGTTTAGACACGAAACATTTAATTTGCTTGACTCTGACTGCATTGCAACAGACACAACGTTGACACTTGACACTCATGCCGCGTACGTAAAATTGTTCAGACTCGATTGAGCTACCCCTCGTGAGTCATGACCAGCAAGATATAAAAAAAAATATTTTGCCGCACAATAAACTTTACTAAAATTGCTCAAATTTTTCATTCCCTGCTTACCACTTCCGCCTTTAATTTTTCCCATAATCAGCTTTACTAATTTAAACACCACAATCAAAATTTAAATTAAAACATTCAGTTTATAAACAAATGATAGTTAAATATTCAGTCCAACTTGAGGATGTTTGACTCTTGAAATGCGAGCTGTGCGCTTATTTTGGGACGGGGAGAGTATGTCCCTTTTCTTTGTCTTTTTAGGATATATTTTCTGCATAGTTATTACTGTAGTTCAGCTAGTTCTTTCTTAGAATGAATTTGGCTTTTTTTTTTTTAAAAAAAAGTGTGGCATAAGTTTTTCCTATCTGGAGCAGTTGGTCGCATTTATCTATGCTACCTGCCTGACTAATTAAAGTAAAGGTCAACATTTTAAATTGATAATAACTTCGTGGCATTCTCCTTTTAATTAAAGTACGCAATGTTGTTCCTTTGTACGTTGGATTCCAATTCAGAAATGAAGAATATTTAGTTGTCCTCGTCGAGCAAGCTTGCAACTAATAACCACTAAAATGTCAAAGTCAAAGGCACGTGACGTGACCCGGATCATGGGACGTGCAGTAAGCCAGTAGGGTGTAAGTACGTAATTTGTACTCCCTCCGTTCCAAATTATAGTCGTTTGATTTTTTTTTATTCTAAGTTTGACCACTCGTCTTATTTAAAAAATTTATGCCAACATAGTTCAAATTTAAGTCATTCTTGAAGAATTTTTATTAATAAAATAAGCCGCAACAAAAGAAGTGACATTTTGCGCAAATTTTTTAATAAGACGAGTGGTCAAACTTGAGATAAAAAAAGTTAAACGAACTATAATTTGGAACGGATTTAGTAAGTAATTAGCAATGGGCCTAATCTTTGTCATACGAAAACAGTTCACACAAATAACAACCTCATGGTATACCTGACTTTATTTGATGGATGGATTGTTTCAACTTTGTGAAATGGAAATTGAACGAGCGCTGAAAAAAAAAACGCGCCAAATAAGGCGCGGCGTGCATACGTAGGTGCTTGCGCTTGATCAGCCAGGAATCAAGATGTAATCAAATGCGTAAGTAAAAGTACAAACTGAAGAAAGGACCTGGTCCGCCGCCATACTTTGTGTCGGTTAATGAACTAGTTAGCAGCCTAGCTAAAAACCTATAAAAGGACACCACGTTGTCTCTAGCTCTTCCGACAACCATTCGAGAGGCATCATAATTAAGGGACTGATATTGATATGGCATCCGCGGCGATGAGGGCGGTGGTGCTGGAAAACGAAATAGTAGCATTAAACAAGTGTACGACCAAATACATAACAAGCTGCAGAAAGGACTATATAATGGGGATATGAACAATGTGTTTCGAATTTTGAATTCAGAATATTTCAAATTAAAAGTAGAAAAGTAGAAAGCGGTCGAAAAATGTGTAAACCGTTTTCTACTTTTACCTGAAACCTCAAACGTAAGCACGCATGTATGATTATAAGGATATTACCGTTTTATAGAGTAGTAGCTAGCTAGAAAGGACTATATAATGGGATATAACGTACAGGCTAGAAAGGACTATATAATGGGGATATGAACAATGTTCTCTCTACCTAACCTACGTAAGCACGCATGTATGTACGTACCTATTACGTACAGGTGTGTTAATTATTGACACGCCTACGATTGAATCAACAAATTAAAATCACAACCAGCTAGCCTAACTTGATCGATCAGCATGGCTAAGCTAATCCCACTATTTTATCGGTGGCTGCCGACGGGCATGCATGCCCCGGCGAGCTAGTTTAATTTATCAGGGGCACGATCCGTTGGGAGCTTGGCGGTTGTGGTTGTTGCCGCCCGGCCCGCCTAGCACCTGCATGATGAGCCCCAGCCAGCCGCCGTCTGCTGTCGTCGCCACCGCCGGCGCCTCCATCAGCAACGGCCTCGCCGCGGCGATCATGTTGCAGCACTGCATCAGCACGACGACCACCAGCAGTCCTAGCTAAGCTAGCTAGTTGTTCAGAATCTGTAAGTATTAAGAGATTAATTCATCCGTGCAAAAATGCGTGGAGTCTTTGTTTAACATCCGATATATAGTTCTTTCGTGTAATTTTATTGGGTTCAGAACATCTTATATAAAGCATGAAGATGCATGAGATTATACAATGAAGGTATTATATTCACTCTTTATTCAAATAAAACTTATATCGGTCGGACTGCTGCTTTATTTCTCTTCTCACCAACAGAGAAATTAAATTAAATCACTTTGTGTATATATATGTACACGTTCGAGAATTTTGCCTCCAACCAAACGAATCGCTGGAGAATCATTTTTTCTCGATCAAACAAAAGGTTTGCGCATCTCTGTATTAAGATAGAAAATAGTTTTTTACATATCTGCGGGCTATACAAAGTTTGCAACTCAGCTCATGCCCGGCCACTGAACATTGACGCTGATCATGTATTACTCGTGCTAATAAACAACCTAGGTTCTTTGCGCCCGCTTGAGCCCAAAGCTCGGCGCTGTGCTTGAGCACTGCTAGCCGCTGTGGCAGAATCGCTGGAGAATCAATAGCTAGCACTTAGTACTTTAGGGACGAGATGATAGCTAGAGAGTTAACAACAGCGTCGTTATCATAGAAAAGACGATCTTTAATTTTGTATTGATTGCGACCAAATTTCAACTGCATTTTTTATTTGAACACCACAGCATGTTGGTCTAATGAGTATAGTGCAATACATCCATGGGCAGTTTATTTATTATATATAATACAAGACTTGGGAGACAAGGTAACCCATGGATACACATGGTGGTCTACGATACACAATATCTAAACTACCAGATATATATATATATATATATATATATATATATATATATATATATATATATATATTCAACGTGTTCTAATTACTACCTCCGTTTGTGAAATGAATGCAATTCTATCGTACTACCGAATCAAACTGTTTTGGATTCAATCAAATTTATATAAAAACGACAATATTGTGCTGCCAAATAAGTGTAATTGGATTCTTCATGAAATACGTTTTCATAATGTACCTATTTTATTTCATAAATATTAATGCTGATTTCATGAAGAATATGGGTTAATTTTCATAAGGAATATTTTTACCCTGTGGACTGTGGTTGGATCGAACTTGTTGTGCATGCATTACATATTCGCAAAACAAGAATACAAAACCAGACGGACCCCAACCCCAAGCCAAACGTACGGCGCGTGGCGTGTGTCCCTCAGTCCTCAGATCAGTCAAGTCCATTGTGTATGTGACGACCATACTGATTTCTTATTCCTCTCCGAACGAAGACGCAGGACCGTGTGCCCAGTTTTTACTTGTTAGACGGCGACTCGTTCTAAATTGACATGCACAGGTAGTGGTAGGCAACGAAGACAGATTTCAACGTAACGTTCTAATAAACCTTTGCAAGTTCGATTTGGAGCACTCCATGTACTGACATGTGTCCATGGATGACGCACATGTACTCCAAATAATATGATCACTAGATAAGCTAGTTTACAACAAACCATAATAAGGAGAAAATAGTTAATTATTTATTTCTCTCTCTCTCTCTCTCTCTCTCTCTCTCTCTCTCTCTCTTTTTTGAGGATGTGTGTACGTAGTACTTGTCTTCACAACTAATCACTGGAAAAAATATTCAGTAAGTTCGTTCACAGAAGCAGTCACCATAAGTCCATATCATAATTAGCATATGAGTATTACTTTGAACAAAATGTTCAAAAGCTTGAATTGGTACATTCATGGTAGTATTCCTGTGAACTAGAATAGTCACACCGGATTTGAAGGGGAAAAAATCAGACACAAAGAATGGCGACTAAGAATATTCAGTTGGCCTCCTGCTAGTTCACACTCAGGCATGGCGGTGTCTCAGCGAGCCCGGGATAGACGTGTAGTGAGGTACCGAGGGGTGACAAATGGACTGGACCTCTGAACAGTGGAGCAGAGTCGCCTGCCACATGCTGTGGAAATATTTGTTTAGCATTTGACATCGATGTCAATTTAATGTATTACCGTAATAATTAGCCTCACTACAAAATCCGTTACTCCTATTCAGGGAACACTCGATCATGGAAACTCTATGTAGTATTGCACAAGGAACACACAAGTTTTAGAAGCACATTAATTTAGCATTTGGTTGGATGAACATGTATATAATATAATATAATATAATATAATATAATATAATATAATATAATATAATATAATATAATATAATATAATATAATATAATATAATATAATATAATATCACATCACACACAAGTTTGTCATGTGCTTAGGTATGTATTCACGCCTCAAGAACACAAGACCAGATCGACTAGACCTAAGCCAAGAACCGTGTGGTATACTGGTATAACGTTACCGATGTCCGAGGGAACGTGGGTCCATTGTACAAACAAGACCCTGCCCAGTTATTAGACTGCGACCGATTCAAGTTGACACTGACCAAGCAGGGAAGACAGGGACTTCAACGTCCAAACCCGTAGGCATGTTTTGTTTACGCGTTGTACTACCATGCATGTCACATGCACATACTACTTGATTTTCACTGCATATAAGCCCATTTATTTATAACACTGAAAACACGCTACGAAGAAGCTACAATGTTCGCACAGTTA